CCAGAGAAGGTCAAGTGCTGGAGGGAGTGGGTGGAGAACCTGGCCTAGGGGCCCTGCTGCTTGGTTTCTGCAGGGAGCAAGGGTAGAAGGATTGGGAGATGGAGTAGGGAAGAAGTTAGGGTCAGTGGCAGAGCCAGGCAGATGCTGACACTTTTTCTCTTCCCCAGACCCCCACTTTGAGGAGCCGGGTCCAATGGTGAGAGGGGTGGGTGGGACTCCTCGGGATTCTGCCCGGGTTAGTCCCTTTCCCGCTAAACGTCGGGAGCGGCCTCCCAGAAAACCAGAGCTGCTACAGGAGGTAAAGAATGGGTTTGAGATTGTGCTTCGCTGCACTCCTACTCGTGAAGATTCTTGTTGGTTATGTTTTCTCCGTTCTCTTTCCTGTTTTTCACTGTTTTTACTCCAGAATTCTCAGTATTAGTCTCCCATGTGTCTCCCTTGTTGCCTCACGCCACACACTGTATCACCCCACTCTGTCCTGGCTTCCTATAATTCCCAGTTCCCACCCAATTCATGTTTTGCCTCTGGCCCTTCTCATCCGTAGGAATCTTTGTCACCTCCTCATAGCTCTGGATTCTTGGGCTCTAAGCCTGAGGGCCCAGGCCCTCAGGCAGAGTCCAGAGATACAGGCACAGAGGCCCTGACCCCTCACATCTGGAACCGTTTACATACTGGTGAGTAAAACTGAGTGAAAGGACTATGATAGAAGGGTTAAGAATGAGATGGGCTTCTGAGCTATCATCTCCTCTCACTTGTCTTCTGGTTGGTGCTCCCTTCTCCAGCCACTAGCCGAAAGAGTTATCGGCCCAGCTCCATGGAGCCTTGGATGGAGCCCCTGAGTCCTTTTGAGGATGTGGCTGGCACAGAGGTGAGTGAGGGTGGGAGGGTGTCTGAGCTGGGACTTCTTTGAGCACTGGCCATACTTCCCCACTTGCTCTGGGTTGAGTCTGGAGCTGTTCTCTCACTTGGTTGTCCCTTCTGCAGTTTATCTGTGTGCATCAGTCAGGTATTGGGGTGCTTTCTACCTTGACTTAACTAACTCCTTCTCCACTCCTCTCAGATGAGTCAGTCTGACAGTGGGGTGGACCTGAGTGGGGATTCTCAGGTGTCATCAGGTCCCTGCAGCCAGCGAAGTTCCCCTGATGGAGGACTCAAGGGGGCAGCAGAGGGACCCCCCAAGAGGCCTGGAGGCCCCTCACCCCTGAATGCTGTTCCTTGTGAGGGTCCACCTGGCTCTGAACCTCCTAGGAGACCGCCACCTGCCCCCCACGATGGGGACAGAAAGGTAAAAGACTAAAAAAGGATAAGGGAAATGTTTCCAGGAATCTGACTTTGGCCCTACCTTTTTCTGCTTTTTCCCTCTGCGTGTGTGTTGTGGGCATTCCAATTTAGATTTCCTTTCCCCTCCCCCAACCCACTTTACTGTATGCCCAATCCAGGAGCTGCCCCGGGAGCAGCCTCTGCCCCCTGGCCCCATTGGCACAGAACGATCACAGCGTACAGACCGAGGCACAGAGCCTGGCCCCATTCGGCCATCCCATCTTCCTGGTCCCCCAGTCCAGTTTGACACTAGTGACAAGGTCTGTGTGGGCTGGATATGGGTGTCCTGAGTTGGGTGGAGAGAAGGGAAGGACTAAAGGTGGTACATAGAGGACGCATGTCTGTCATGGGACAATGTCTCCTGCCTTGTTGTGATCACAGGACTCGGACTTACGCCTAGTGGTAGGAGACAGCTTGAAAGCAGAGAAGGAGCTAACAGCATCAGTCACTGAGGTAAGTGGGAGTAAGAATTTGGTGGAAAGGCCCAAGATTGCCAGAGAAGATTGCTGGGAGTGACCAGGGCATCCAGGATGCCAGACATCCCTCTCCACAAGGCCTTTCCTTCCCAGGCCATTCCTGTATCAAGAGACTGGGAGCTGCTTCCCAGTGCTGCTGCCTCTGCTGAGCCACAATCCAAGAACCTGGGTTCTGGGCACTGTGGCCCGGAGCCCCCCTCCTCAGGCCAGCGTCTGTATCCTGAGGTCTTCTATGGCAGTGCTGGGCCTTCCAGTTCTCAGGTAGGCCCCACTTCCCATTGCATGACCCCTTCAGTAAATAATCATTTTTTTCTGCCTGGTACGTATTTATAATCAAGCCTTTCTATGTTGTAGAGTTGTGAAATACCACATTGTCACATCATTTTTGTTCCTGCGTTCTGCTGCTATGGGTGGGGTGGTGATCTTTTCTTGACCACAGATATTAAAGATGTTTCAACCCTGCTCTTCTGCAGATCTCTGGGGGAGCCATGGACTCTCAATTACATCCAAACAGTGGAGGCTTCCGCCCTGGGACACCCTCACTGCACCCTTACAGGTAAGACTCGATACCTGTGGACCACAGAAGTACTTGGAGATGTGTTTCAGGGGAGAGAGAAGGGGAAGACACAGTTCTAGGGTACCAGAAGCTAGTGGACTTAAGGCATTGCTAGGACTCTGGCTTCCTAACAGCTTTTCTCCCCACAATTTCTTTCCAGATCACAGCCCCTATACCTACCCCCCGGCCCAGCCCCTCCCTCGGCACTGCTCTCTGGGGTAGCTCTCAAGGGCCAGTTTCTGGATTTCTCCACACTGCAAGCTGCAGAGCTGGGGAAGTTGCCGGCTGGAGGAGTTCTCTACCCTCCACCTTCCTTCCTCTACTCTCCGGCTTTCTGCCCCAGTCCTTTGCCCGACACATCGTTGCTTCAGGTAAGAGAGGGGCAGGTGTTAGATATTGGGGGATAGGGTGGGGAGAACGATTTTGTAGGGGTTGATGTATTTCTTCCCATTTCCCAACAGGTACGCCAGGATCTGCCGTCCCCTTCGGATTTTTATTCTACTCCTCTGCAGCCTGGTGGCCAAAGTGGCTTTCTCCCTTCAGGGGCTCCTGCCCAGCAGGTATATTGTATCTTCCCACTTCCCCTTCATTTGATTTCTCTGTCCAGTCACTGGCTTTGATTTTCCCTGGTTTTCTGACATTCCTTCCTGCCCCCAACATGCACACCCAAATTTCTTGTTACAGATGCTTCTACCCATGGTAGACTCACAGCTGCCTGTGGTGAACTTTGGCTCCCTGCCGCCAGCACCACCTCCTGCCCCACCTCCCCTTTCTCTGTTACCTGTGGGCCCTGCTCTGCAGCCCCCAAGCCTGGCTGTGCGGCCCCCACCTGCTCCTGCTACTCGGGTGCTGCCTTCACCTGCCAGGCCCTTCCCTGCTAGCTTGGGGCGAGCAGAGGTAAGGTACAGCAACTGAGGGGCTAGGGAGTGCCAAGATGTAGGAGTAGGGATTCTGTATTTCAAGGCAGGGAGTTCATGATATTTCTTCCCTCAGCTGCATCCAGTGGAACTAAAGCCGTTCCAGGATTATCAAAAACTGAGCAGCAATCTTGGGGGACCTGGGTCATCACGGACTCCGCCAACTGGAAGGTGAAAGGGAATAGGGATGTGGACTTTCCAAGTGCTTCCTTACTTTGGGACCAGGGTCTGGATCCTGGGCGTGCCTTAGATGTCCTTCTCTTAGGTCCTTCTCTGGCCTCAATTCCCGTCTCAAGGCCCCGCCTTCCACCTACAGTGGAGTCTTCCGCACCCAGCGCATCGACCTTTACCAGCAGGTAAAGGAGAAACCCCTGTGGCCCCAGCTCTAAATTGGAGTTGCCACCTGATTTCCTGTCCTTCCATCCCATCCCTGACCTCCCACTATGACTCACTGTTTAACACATGCCTGTCCTCTAGGCCTCCCCACCAGATGCCCTGCGCTGGATACCTAAGCCTTGGGAGCGGACAGGGCCGCCTTCTCGAGAAGGGCCCTCTAGACGGGCAGAGGAGCCTGGGTCCCGAGGGGACAAGGAGCCTGGGTTGCCCCCACCCCGCTGAGGGAGTTCCTCTTGCCCCCTACCCCCGGGGCTTGTATATAGATTATAAATATATAAGGGGGAAAGGGGTGGGGGGAGGGGTTGTGGGGCTGGGGCCTCACTTCCCCTCCTTCCCCTTCCCCTGGTCCCTGACCCTGGGGCTGTTTGTTAAAAAAGAGTAATAAAAGGATTTAAAAAAAAGTTCTACAGTGATTTGGGGGATGGGTTGTTGGCATTGTCTTAAAAGCATGGTGCTTAGTGATCTGTAGTTTCAGTCAGGGAAATACTCGTTACATTCCAGAGAGCTGTTGAAACTAAGAACATGACCATCATACTGGATCATTAAGTTTTTGTGAGTCAGGAATTTGGGCTGAGCTCAGCTGGATAAATCTTTTTTGTGCCAGTGAGGTCAACTGGTTATCAGTCTGCAGCTGACACCTGGGCTGGTCCCAATATGGCTCCCTTTGCTATCTGGGGCCTTGGTGGGACATCTGTAACATTACTGGATTATCAACTAGCATCTTCACCTGGATTCTCCAGCAGACCTGTGAGCTCATGTTCCAAGAGGTCTAGGTGGAATCTGCTAAGCTTATGCAATGTTTAACTAGCCAGGGTAGGGGATGGGGGGTGAGAACGGACATCAACTGCATCTCACAGAGACTAGCAAAGAATTTGCAGCCATGGGACTTTGGTCCTTTATGATGAACTAAGGGGAAATCTCTGTTAAGGCCTCAATGTTGGAGCACATTTAAGGGGCTCTTTGAATTGGATAGACCAATTGCAGCACTGTCAAACTAAGTGGGATTTCACATGGTAACATTGCATGCTAGTTATGCTAAGACTACACGTAGGTCTGCAGCTGCTCAGAAACTTTGACGACTAATTTGAGAGCTCTATCCTAGCATGCACCTGGAATATGCTCCCAACTCAAAATACAGGTCTTTTATTTACATATAAAGTGCTTTTGCACAAAAAAAAAAAAATCAAAACTGGTTTGTACAATTCAGCGTGCTGGGTGAACAAAAGTGTCCATATGCTCACGAGATACAAGCTTTCTGGTACTCCAAGGAAGTATTAATTTAAAAAACAAGTTCACACAAGATTAAGGGACTCACACTACTTAATGGAGACAATGTAGAGAGAGAGCAGCCAGAAATATCCGACTTTTATTTCTTAAATACTGTGAAGGGGGGAAACGGTCCCCTGATGAGGAAGGGCCATAGAGCAAAGAGCTAAGGATCATCAGCAAAGGCCCGGTGGGCATTGGGGAAGCGCTGGGGACTGTAGTTGGGGTCTTCCTGCAGTCGTTTTTGTATATCGGACCGGAGCTAAAAAGAAAAAGCAAGCAGGTTGGAGAAACACTGGCCAAGTCCCTATGATCCCAGCAAGCAAACAAGGCCATCCCTCAGAAGCTAACATTTCCCCCACCAAGCACACTGTCAAATAGCCCGGGGTGGCATTGTCAAGCCTTCCCAGATGCCAAAGGGGAAAACAAATGGCAGCACCAGGGTGACCAGTTCATCGTTGAAGGGATCCAGGGAAGAGGGACCCTAGCCCAACCCCTCCCACTAGACCATCCCTATTCTGCTTCAAGGTGGGGGCACCTGCTGCCTGTAGCTCTCCTGAACCTCTGGTGCCTCCAGGTCCCGGCTCAGGCTCTCGGGGCTCGTCAGGGGCCTAGCTCCGGCTGCCTTAGCTGCCCGGCTCACAGCCTCTGAGAGAAGCAGCTGGGGGCCCTCACCCTGCATCGTCTGGGGGACGGGGTTGGGAGGGAAAAGAGGATCAACGTCAGATCCAGTGCCACCATCCGGCTCACCCTTTCCATGAGTCAACCACTCCACTGAGTCTCCATGCTAGTGGAGAGAGGGGAAATAGAGTCCAGGATGTGGTTTTTACAGCAGAAATGCCTTCCTAATTCCCCTTGGCTCTAGCCAAAACCAAAGTGAATGTGCTTGAACGTGCTCTTCAAAATGAGAGGCAGAAGGGATCAAGCTATCTGGGATTCAGAGCTAGATAATTCACAAGAGGAAACCCACCTTAAAGGAAAATGGGATCTAAGCACATGGGGATTAGGCAGCTGAGGAACTAATACAGGACTGCTAACAAACAGACTGTCAAGTCCTGTATGGTTATGCAACAACCAAGAGCAAGTCTGAATCCCAGAAAAGTTTCCTCATTAAAGGAGGGGAGACTGAATAACAAGAGCTCCTACCATCTCTAAATAGTTTAATTCCAGGCATGATGGGGAAACCTGGATAGACAGAGAGGCTTAGGGAAGAGGAAAACCAACCTTGCGTCTCTTGGCAGGCATACCACTGAGGTAGGCATCACTCAGAGGGGGCTGTGGTTTCACCTTCCGCTGGCTCTGAATGTCCTGCTGGATAATAGGGACCCATTCCTGGGGAGGAAAAGATGAGAAAGTAGTAATGCCCTTGACTTTCAGCTGCCTTGACCCACTGGATTACTTCCTGACACTTACTGGGGGGACTGCAGCTGCCCAAGGTTCTGTCTCAGCTGAAGCTCCATCCTGTTCATCCCGGGAGCCCCCCTCAGGAGCAGGAGGTGGACCTCGGGACATGGCCTCTTCTGCTGTTGTTCCAGGGGCTGGGGAAGCATTCTCCCGCTGAGTGTCAGATGGTGGGAAGAGCCAGGCTTCAGAATTTTTAGCCTCCAAACCTTTTTTTTTTTTTTTTTTTTTGAGACGGAGTCTCGCTCTGTCGCCCAGGCTGGAGTGCAGTGGCCAGATCTCAGTTCACTGCAAGCTCCGCCTCCCGGGTTTACGCCATTCTCCTGCCTCAGCCTCCCGAGTAGCTGAGACTACAGGCGCCCGCCACCTCGCCCAGCTAGTTTTTTTGTATATTTTTTAGTAGAGACGGGGTTTCACTGTGTTAGCCAGGATGGTCTCGATCTCCTGACCTCGTGATCTGCCCGTCTCGGCCTCCCAAAGTGCTGGGATTACAGGCTTGAGCCACCGCGCCCAGCCACCTCCAAACCTTTCTCCCGCAGCCCTCCACTCCACATTATCTGGCCCCTCAACCTCCCCCTCTCCCGAGTACCTGAGGCTCAGGGGAAGCTCTTTCTGCTCCCTGAACTTCCATTGGCTCCTCAGGAAGAGGCTGTGAAATTAAAGAACAACATATTTTGGCTGGGCACGGTGGCTCACGCCTGTAATCCCAGCACTTTGGGAGGCCGAGGCGGGCGGATCATGAGGTCAGGAGATCGAGACCATCCTGGCTAACACGATGAAACCCCGTCTCTACTAAAAATAAAAAAAAAAAATTAACCGGGCGTGGTGGTGGACGCCTGTAGTCCCAGCTACTCGGGAGGCTGAGGCAGGAGAATGGCGTGAACCCGGGAGGCGGAGCTTGCAGTGAGCCGAGATCGCGCCACTGCACTCCAGCCTGGACAACAGAGCAAGACTCTGTCTCAAAAAAAAAAACAACAACATATTTCCTCTCAGATCTCTCCAGTTCTCTCAAGTACCCTGACCCCACTGCCCAACAGGTCCCTTACCTGGGGGGGATCACCAACCCTGCGAACGTATCTGAGAATGGCATCAGGGCCTACGGGCATGTGCTCCAGTACCACCTGAAGCCTCAGTCCCATCATAGTGGTCAGCCAGCTCACCAAGGAGGGATTCACCCCGCGAGACATACGACGCTGAGGGGCAGAAAGCAGATTTAGAACATAAAACCCTCAACCACCTTTCCTAATATATTAGATCTGGGGTATAGAACATCAGTTTAGAAAAGAAAAATGGAAACTGCAGAGAATGGAAACCTCAGGAAACAAAAGGCTAAGGACCTGGGGCTAGGTGGTGCTTACAATTCGGCCATTGATAACAGCAGCAAGCTCCATCTGCTGTCCCCCCAAGCAATGCAGATTCAGGGCCAGGCATTCAAACAGGCCTTGGTTACACAACTCCAGCAACCGGGCCCCAAATCCACTATCTGTGGGCAAAACACAAGGAGGGAATGCTGACACATGGCAGCCCTGCACATCCAACAGGCCCCACTTGCCCCCAGCCTGGCCAGCCACTGACCTGTGCAATGCAGCACATGAGCAGCAATGCTATTAAACTGCTCTTGGAGAAATTCCAGGTTTGTCCGGATGATGTCCACACCTGGCTGAACCTGCACCAAGGACTGAGAGACAAGATACACAAAAACAGGAATCGTAAGACTGGGAACAGAGGAGGCAGCTGCCTTGACCAGACCCAGGAGAGGAGGGGAATAGAGAAGGGTTACTCACAAAACTCTCCCGCACATACTCTTCTAGCCCCGTGATCAATGTGTGGGTTGCCATCTGCGGAGGAAACAGAACAGGTTTAGTTCAAAGCCTCAGTCCTCCCAAGACTTCCACCTTGACCCCAACAAGTCCAGGGCTTGTGTGGGGGCAATTGGAGCTTTACCTGGCAGAGAAGCAGTCAGAAACAAGGAATAAAATGTGCAAAGGAGGAGAGCTCGGGGGCCCCTGGCCTTCATTTACCCGGATGTTACTGGGGGTGGGCTCCTGACCACCCAGGTAGTGTTGGTGGAAGAAGGATCGCAGCTGGGGTTGCAGCCGTTGTAGTGGCTGAAAATGCCCATGAAGAAGCATCACTACGTCCACCATAGAGAAGTTCTGGCACAGAAGAGAGAGTAGGGCCCCAAAGAATCCTGGAGGACAGGGGCAGATGTTAGCAATCGCCTTTACCACCTGGCTTGCCCACCCACAACCAGGTGTCAATGTCATCCCACCTTGGCAACACCCCTAAACCAAGGCCATCTACCTTCCTCTGGCTGGCCCTTCCTGGAGCAAGCCAAAGCACCCCCTTTTGCTCACCAAGGGCCCCATCAGCTCCAGGCTCAAAGATGTTGCTGGATCCACTGAGGCGTTGTATGAAGGCAGCAATACTTTCACTGCTGCCAGCCCGAGCCCCCAAGGAGCCCAGCAGGGAGCTCAGCACACCCTGCACCACTGAGGTAAAAAACTCCGGTGATAGGCTCTCAAGACCCAGGCCTCCAGGACTCCCTGCCCCACCAGAAGGGGAGCTTGGTGGGGGCATGGTCTGCTGCTCTGGGGCAGGTTGTGGGGGTGGAGGAGGTGGGGGTGGTGGAGGGGCTGTCTGTGTTGCCTGGCAAATAGAAAAGGAACAAAGAACAGAAGGTTGAAGTGAGAATGCAGATAGGGAAATAATACGGCATCAAGAGGGCACAAACATATGGGTCTGGGAAGATGGGGAGTTACATTCTGATCTTCACTGCTTAGAGCAGAAATATGGTAGGTATTTAACAGAGTCAGGCAGCACAACTACCTACTTCTTCCTCTGAACAGGTTGTCAGAAAGCAGTGACACTAATTACTACACTTTCTTTTTCTAAACCTCATTTTCTTCATCTTTAAAATGAAGGGTTCAGAGTCAATGAATTCCCAGGGCCCCTTCCCCTACGTGTCACTAGGGGCTCTTACCCAGTGGTTATATAATGGGAAGATATTATATATCTTCTCCTGGCTGGGCCAGGAGACAGGAAGGGTGAGGTGAATGGCAAGCCAGCCACTCACCTGCAAGAAGTCAGTCATGCCCTGGAGAAAGGCAGGGACACCAGGCATCGCCACAGTGATAGTGGGAGAAGCCACACCAGGCCCTCCAGCCCCTGGTCCGGCAGGCCCTAGCAGGTTCCCCAGAAGCTGAGAGAACTGAAGATCAGCCGTGGAGGGTTGAGGGGTGGGTGGAGGCTGGGCAGGCCCCCCAGGGGCGGGGCCAGCTGTGGTAGCTGTGTTGGTGGTGCCAGCACTGGCAGAAGCAGTGGCAGGGGCTGGTGGTGGAGCCATTCCTGGAGTCCCCTGAGCTGTAAGAACCAAAAGAAAAAAGCTGGGCTGAGCATGGTGGCTCTCGGCTGTAATCCTAGCAACTCTGGGAGGCTAAGGCAGGAGAACTGCTTGAGCCCAGGAATCTAGGCCACGTAGCAAAACCCCATCTCTATCAAAAAACAAAAAAAGACAATTACTAGCCAGAAGCTAGTACTGCTAGCTACTCAGGAGGCTGAGGTGGGAGAACTATTTGAGCCCAGGAGTTCAAAGTTACAGTGAGCTATAACTCACTGGATTGCACCACTGCACTCCAGTCTGGGTGACAGAGCAGGACTCTGTCTCTCAAAAAAAATAAAAAAGCTGGCCAGGCACGCTGGCTCAAGCCAGCACCTTGGGAGGCCGAGGCAGGTGGATCATGAGGTCAAGAGATCGGGACCATCCTGGCCAACATGGTGAAACCCCGTTTCTACTAAAAATATAAAAAATTAGCTCGGTGTGGTGGCACGCACCTGTAGTCCCAGCTACTCAGGAGGCTGAGGCAGGAGAATCACATCACTTGAACCCAGGAGGCAGAGCTTGCAGTGAGCCAAGATTGCACCACTGCACTCCAGCCTGGTGGACAGAGCAAGACTCCATCCCCCCCTCCAAAAAAAGAAAAACATTGAAACCTAAAGACAAACAAGACACTATAGCAGCCCCATTCCAGGAAAGCAGGAACCAAGAAAATACAGAAAGAACTAGAAAGTGCCAATAAGCAGACTAGGAAAGGAATTTAAAGACTGAGTGGGGAAGAATGAAAACTCACCCACAAGGACTGGCTGCATAAGAAGCTGCCCCACAAGGCCGCTCACCATCTGGGCCAACGAAGCATTGGTACCCAGCCCGGCGCCCTGCTGGATAGAGAGCAAGGAAGGACTTCAGACCTGCCCTTCCATGCACCACCACAGGAGTCTCTCCCTAGACTGTTACGCACTAGAACTCCCCAACCCTTGCTCACCAGTGTCCCAGAGACTGGGGGCCCTCCAGGATGAGAAGGCCGAGCCTGTGGAGGAGTGGGCCGGGCAATCACCACCCGGGTTGGAGCTGCTGGGAAGCCTGGTACCTGCTGTCCTGTGGGTGGCAGAAGAGAGAGACCGAACAGGGCTGAGGGCCAGGCCCTTGCCAGCCAGCTGCCACCACGGACTGTGCCCCACCTCCCAAGCCTCCCCTTCCAGGTCATTACCTGCGGCCGCGGAGGCAACAGCTGCCACCATGGCCTGATGAGTGATCTGGTGGGCGACGGCGTGCATGAACTCAGGGGGCAGGGAGGGCAGCTGGATGAGGGTGGAGCCTGGGGGGCGGGTCTGATGTAACCTTGAACCTGGACCCCTTCAACCCACCCACTCAGCCCTTCCCCTTCACTACCCAGAGCTCAGCCTGCCCTGATGCCCTCACTCTTACCCAGGGTTTGGCCATGAGCAGGGGGCCCCAGGGGGCCAGTGGGAGCACTCGGAACACCACCAGGCTGTGTGCCAGTATCTGGACAGGGAGACAGAGAGAGTAGCCCTGAGGTAGGTAGGGCCAAGGCCTAACTATATCCTCCTGAGATCAGGAATACTTCAGGCCCATAATCCCCCAATCAGAAAGCCTGCTTTTCCCTCCATCTAAACAGGGAGAAGGTGCTCCCTTCACCATGCAAACACATCTCCAAAAACAAAGCAACCCGTCCCCCACATCCATCTACTAAAGTTTCTGCTCTGGTCCCCAGGCTACCACCACCAGCATGGGCCTCTCCCTTCCCCACCCTGTTTCCTCACACCTCGACATGAACCTCCCTCAACATGCTGATTCTGCTCTTCTCGCCAGCAACTGATCCTAACTCACCTTGAATGTTCATGTGCATCATGACCACGGGTTCCACGCTCTGGTGGGAAATCCGGATGACCCTCGGGTGGCTGGTGGCTGGCGGGGGAGCTGGACCTGGAGGGGGAGCCCCCTCAGCTGAGGACTCGACATTGGTAGAAGACGGAGCCGTGGACGAGGCCTGCCCAGGACCAGGGGCAGGTGCCTCCGCATTGGGAGTTGGGGGGGGCCGAGTCCCATTTCCTGTCATGGTCACAGTGGTTCCCACGTTGATCTGAAAAAGACAGATGGACAGGCAGAAGTGAGAAAAATACAGAAGCCTAACCAAGAAATCCTCACAATAAACCTCTGAAGTATCTCCAACCTCCATCACCATGTTTCCAAAGTCTCCTCCTTTCCTAACCTCCTTCAGGGCAAGTAGCTACCCTGGGTCACTCTATCAACACCCCTCACTCTCCCTCAGGCCAGACTCCCTCTAACCCACCTGTATGGGAATGGCTGCCTGCTGGAGCACCATGGGGGTGGTGTAGTGAGACATAGGCCGGACTACATGCAGGTGTCGTGGGGGCGCACAGGCCAGATTGCAGCGCAGGTCAGACAGTGCAACAAAGGTGTTGCCCAGCAGTCGCAGGCTCTCCCCCACCAAGTTGATCAACCGCTGATCCTCCTCCCGGCCCTCGTGCTGCACACCCCAGTCAAACACAAAAGGGCAGAAAATATCAAGCTGGAGTCCATCTCACTAATGAAAGCAATAATGCCTTCTAAGAATATCACGTCCTCCAAAACTTTCAGTTATATCCTTGTAAGTTTATATGCAGACCAAATCTTTGCAAATAAATTACATCTTATTCACATGAGAAACATCCTATTGAAACACTACAATGAATCAGTAAGTCATCATATACTGATTTCCTTTACTTCAAACTTTCTAAATTCATTCAAAGGCACAAAGCGTACAAGGACAGTGGTTACAGAAAAGATTATCACCTTCTCCGTAAGGGAGGAAAAAAATCACTTACAGGTTCAGAGGGAAATTGTTTTGTTGCAATGTGTGTGTGGTTTTGTTTGTTTTTTGAGACAGAGTCTCGCTCTGTCACCCAGGCTAGAGTGCAGTAATGAAATCTTGGCACACTGCAACCTCCTCTTCCTGAGTTCAAGCAATTCTCCTGTCTCAGCCTCCTGAACAGCTGGGATTACAGGCGTGCACCACTACGTCCAGCTAATTTTTATACTTTCAGTAGAGATGGGGTTTCACCATGTTGGCCAAGCTGGTCTCAAACTCCCGACCTCAGGTGATCTGCCCACCTTGGCCCCCCAGAGTGCTGGAATTACAGGCATGAGCCACTGCACCCGGCCCTGTTGCAATGTTTTTCGAGGGAGGGAAAGAGTTATCTGTATTTCAGCCTGTTCTGTTTTAGGAGTACTGGGGCTAAGGAGAAAGGGCAGGGCCATCAAAGGGCTCACATTGTTATTATAGTCCGTGGTGGCAGCAGCACCCAGAACCTCGTAGTAGCGCTGCAGGAAGGGCTGGAGGCGACTCTCCAGGCGCTGTAGCTCTTGGAGCACCTCCACATACTCCGCAGGGGAAGGATGGCTGTGGACAAACCCAAGGGGCAGTGAGTCAAAACTTTCCTCAGATTCCCAACCTCACAGTCAACAGGGACCACATGTGCCCTCCTTCTCCCTGGTCTCCCAGAGCTCTGGCCCAATCCTTCTCTGGACCAGCAGAGCTTCTATTTTCAACCTCCGCCTCCTGGGTTCAAACGATTCTCCTGCCTCTGCCTCCCAAGTAGCTGGGATTAAGTCGCCTACCACCACACCCAGCTAATTTTTGTATTTTTTAGTAGAGACGGGGTTTCACCATGTTGGCCAGGCTGGTCTTGAACTCCTGACCTCAGGTGATCTACCCGCCTCGGTCTCCCAAAGTGCTGGGATTACAGGCGTGAGCCACTGTGCCCGGCCAAAGCTTCTATTCTTTACTCCCACCCATGAGAGGATGGGGAGAAGAAAATGAACTTCTCCTACCCTCTCCACCACAATCCTGCACCTACAATGGTGAGAGACTAATTCTAAGAAAAAGAGCAAGCCTACGTGAACTCAGAGAAGATAATTCTCATCAGGCTCAGGAGATACTATTTGGATTTTCTTGCCATAGGAGAGCAGTTCTTCTCGGCTGCCTGTCCTAGCGTCATTTACCTATACCAAGAGAGCCCCTCCTCGCCCCTCAATGGTAACCTTCAACTAAGACCTCCAAGTAATCCTTTCCCTCCCTTGCCATGGTTCATTTTCTTCTCCCCATACTTCACTTAGGATTTCCCACCCCCTAAAGATTCCCTCCATCTCTCACTTGGGTGCGTTTGTTTCCGGGGCAGGTGTTGGGCCCGCTGGGGCTGGACCAGGAGTGAGCTCCGGGTTCTGGGCTGGGGCACGCTCCTCCACTTCTTCTGCCTCCATGGGCTCCCGAGGAGGTGCTTCACTTTCAACTGGTTCTGATGTTTGAGAGCTCAAGGCTACTGACTCCTGGGTCACAGCTGGTGGCTGCGGGGGTGGCTGACTGTGCTGCGGTTGGGGTCCTCCTCGACACTGAAGGTAGGGGAGAGTCAGAATACCAAAAGCAGGATAAGACTGCTGCAGAAGATTACTCTGCAGGAGACTGGACAGAGAAAGTATCCTAACTAGACTCCCTGAAGGCATGGCTCTGCAATTGTATCTCTAACTCTCTAGCAACTAGCATAAGACTGACACAAATTAGATGCGTAATAAGCATCTGTAATTTTTTTTTTTGAGACACTCTCTCACTCTGTTGCCCAGGCTGGAGTGTAGTAGCACAATCTCAGCTCACTGCAACCTCCGCCTCCCAGGTTCAAGCGATTCTCTTGCCTCAGCCTTCCAAGTAGCCAGGACTACAGGTGTGTGCCACCACGCTCAGCTAATTTCTGTACTTTTAGTAGAGACAGGGTTTCACCATGTTGGCCAGGCTGGTCTCGAACTCCTGACCACAGGTTATCCCCCTGCCATGGCCACCCAAAGTGCTGGGATTACAGGCAGGAGCCACCATGCCTGGCCACAGCATCTGTAATATTTGTAAATAACTTTCTAACAAAGAGTAGTGACTGTGGTTTCCTGTCCTCCATAAGTTGGTTTCCCAGCCTCCACAAGTTAAGAATGTGGAATCCTTTAACTAAAAAGAGATGCCATGAGACAAGTCGGAAACAAACTCCCCGGACACCAGGCAGGTATGGCAGAGGACTGGCAGAAATGAGAGCGCCTCACAAAGATACTTCTTCTGCCCAGAATAATGAATACTGCAGAGAAGACTACATTATGAGGGCCAAACTCTGTGGATGTGGCCAGTCAACCCCCAACCCCCAGGATGAGAGAAAACGGAGAGGGAGGGTGGGGAGAGACCCTAGCCAACCTTGCCCACTTACCTCCATCCGGGATAGTAAGGTCTGTATATCCCTGATCATGTGTTGAGCCATCACCAGCCGTACCCGGGGCTCACTCTACAACGAGAGAAGGTTGATCAGGGTAGGTTACAGATGAAGCCATGAGTTCTACCACCTACTAAATCAGGTCCCAGCCATCTCTCAGTCAGGTCCAACCCCCCTCCCAGCCTCCTTCTCCCAGATCCCCTTCCCTGACCCTCGGAGGCCCCTCAATACCTGAATCGGGGCCTGTTCCATGTTGATGTGAACATCCACAGCAGAGCCGTCACTCTGGGGAAAGGGTAAGGGAAGTTGTTCTGGGAGAAGCCAACACTAAGGCCTCCACACCTCCAATTCATTCCCTGGAGCCCCGCCCTCTTTTCTCCTTAAAGACTGAGACCAATAGCACACCACAGCGCCCCCTGAACCCAATCTAAAGAATGGAAGCATCTATCTTATTCCCTGTTGCTACCACAACCAAAGCTATCCACAAAACCCCTCCCCTGTGGAACATAAGCTTACAGGAAGATTGAAGGTTCCAACCATGACATAGCTGTTGGCATTCCGGTCATGAACAGAGGCCCCAGGCCCCCGAGTACCAGGCGAGGGTCCCCCACCATGAGTGGCTGAGGCAGACCCCATCCCAGAAGATGCCCCAGAAGGGAGCTGAGTCTGAGGAGGAGCCCGTTCCACCAGGTGGATAACCTTTCCCCCAACATCTGCAGAAAAATAGACACACACCGAAACATAGTATGAACAGGTAAACCCACGGCCCCAGTTCATCCCTCCAGACAGCAGCCCCAACCTCTGAACTGCCTCCCCAGTCCCCTTACTGTATTCCTGGAGCTTCTTATCATCTTGCAGAACTCGTCCCTGGTAAATGAGCCGTTGTTTTTCAGACGGGATGCTGACAGAGGCAGCAATGTGCTCCTTAAACTCTTTTACATTCATCTGAAAGGAAGAGGAGGCATGCACAGGAATGGAAAGAATGGAAGAAAAAGGAAGAACACAGATAGACAACCAACTTGTGGAGGTGAGATGTAAAAACTACCCCAGAATCACTACCCACTAGTCTTGACTGTGAGATAATTACTGTGCAAACCCTTAAACTGAAGTAACAGCTGTCAAAATACAGACAATAAACTTGGCTGGGCACGGTGGCTCACATCTATAATCCCAACACTTTGGGAGGCCAAGGCAGGCAGATCTCGTGAGGTCAGGAGTGTGAGACCAACCTGGCCAACACGGTGAAATACCTTTTTTACTAAAAAATCCAAAAAAATTAGCCAGGCGTGGTGGTGGGTGCCTGTAATCCCAGCTACTAGGGAGGCTGAGGCAAGAGAATCACTTGAACTCAGGA